ACACCGAAAATATTTAATATTCTGATTACTTTCTAAAATATCTAACATTCAGCTACTAAATATATACTCTTACTTGTGTTTTAAATGGAAGCCATTTAAAGCAGTTCTCCAGTAAATATAATCACAATTCCTCTGCCCCCATTTTGGCTGAATATTATAAGAATACATACAATAAAAGAAATAATAAAAACAAATTTTATTATTAAACATAACTGTGAATCTTCTGCAGTCCTTAGTTCAAGTGTTAATTACACTGCAATATATTTAGCTGGATTTTATGATCTTTGAAGTGTGTTTTCTGAAAATTGTATTTCCTGAGAGATACAGTACATTTCAGATTTCTACATATTGAATACAAATTAGGTACATCAAAACATTATGCAACATGAGTGGTAGATTTAAAGGTGCAAAAAATGAGGTATTGTACATTAAAATACATTATCATGCAACATGTCATTAAAATAAAGTATACAATATTTGTAAATTAATATTCTTTTAAATATTTTTATTCTAAAATGGTTTCAAATTGTTCCTCCCCCCATCCTGCTGGATTTCAGATGAGTTTCAGTGTTCTTACCAGATGTATTAAAAATATCCAAGGGACACTTAAGATCTAATGGTTTTGTTTCTATAAATTGATGCGATGATTACCTTAGCTCCACATGAAACTTCAACATTTGCTATGGGAAGTCTGAATTGCCTGGAACTGGATTGAATGTATGTGTTGTGGAAGGGGAGCAGAGAGAAAAAGAGAACGGTTGTTGTTTATTTCACTAGCTCATGAAACAGGACTATTATAGGAACCTATAAAGCTTCATAACTAAAAACAGTGCTTGGTAAATTATGTTTCCTTCAAGCCTTCTCAAAAGCTCACTAAGAAATAAGGCAACTTCCAGACTGTACTGTGGGCCAAATATCCCAATAATATACTTGTAAAATTTTAAACACACTGAAACACCAGTACAGATATTTCAAATACTTCTTACATTGAAACTGTTTCTATGTACAAAACCCATCAGCTATAATATTCATGCACGTGCCTATGTTTTGGTTTCATTTATGTATATTTTGCAAAGGGATCCACAGCTCTGCAGTGCTTCTGTGCTGGGAAGAGACTTTCAAATAATTTCTTTGGAATGTTGTAACAGCATCCTGTTAAGGATTATGTCCTACTCCTAAACCCAACTACAGCTTCAGTTTTTAGATCTTCCTGTGCAAATCCTTTACAAGAGTTGCTTCACAATGCAGAGGAGTGTATACTACACAAGTCTTGCTCCTGTGTCTCTTGAAGTGCCTCATCTAAAGGATTTGCAGAGCCTCTGGTTTCCTGCAGAAATTAGAAGTCTCCTGTCTGAAACAGATACTTCCATTTTTCATGACTTCACTAATTCTATTTTATTTCAAACAAAACTTTTTTTCCACAGCCAAACCAACAAGTAACTTTTCACAAGTTGCAGTTCTCCCAGTGTCACCATCCAATACAAAATGCCTGCCTCTGATAATGAACTTTTTCTTACATCTTGAGAAAAGCACTGGGGAATTGTTTTAGTATGCTGGAGTACAATGTTAACATTTCGAAACTAAAGTTTTTATATGCATTACATGTAATATTTTATTACAGTAAAATACATTATTTTCTAGTGGATTTTCAGAAATGTATATATGAATGATTTTTCAACTAACCCCTTGTACTTTAATTGAACAAAATATGTTAAAAGAATTTCAATATAAATATTGACTATTAAGCAAGTCAATAAAGCAGATGACATAGACGATTAAAACCCAGTGCTATTACTTATCATGCATTTCATCTCACATATGGGCATCCAAATGAAAAATATAAGCCTGCCACATTAATTATAAACAGAAGCAAGAGTCCAATTGTCCTCTGGTTTCTGTTGTAGGGGAATTGAAGCATTTGCAATGGTTGCACAATTGTATGTGCTTTTACTGGATTATATGTACCAAGGTATGTAACTAAGCATATTTGTTTCCAAAAAAATTAAACAATAATTAACATCACATAGGGTCAATATTTAGTAAACGTTTAGTAAAAAGAGACAGAAGATGAGGTCTAAGAGGGAACCTACTTTAATTACAAACAAAATACCGTTTTTAAAGGCTAACTTATTCAAAGTATTCACAATGATTCAAGAGAAATTTCATGTTAAGCAACCCCATGCAAAAGTTCTGTGGTTGAATTTCACCACTGGGGACTGCTGGTTTTCAACCAAATCTGAATGCCACCATACTAACTATTCAAATTAAATGTCCAGTTTTCTTTGGATCTTTAGCTAGAATACCAATTAAATGGCTAACTGTAATTTTTTTACTGATTTAGCAATATCTTGATTAGCTTTCTCTCCAACCACATAGTGAATATTTTTTTGAACACATAAATCAACATATTGACTTCCACCAACTTACAAAGTTTGTCATCAGCTTTGTAATTCAATGACTCAGAAGTGACTCAGATCAAAACAATAAATATAAGTAAATAAATGGTACTAAAGAGTGGCAGAAAAAAGAACTATCTGCAAAGTGTGTAATAATTTGCATCTTATCTGGAACATTCAGCTTGCTCTTGCATACGGTAGACTTCAGCCCAGCTGACAAGAAAGGAAACATAGCTGACAGATATCAGTTTCTGTTGCCATTAAAAGTAGAATTTATCAATGTCGTCCAGTTTTATTGCCCTCTAACATGATATTCACAAAATTCCAACAATTTAATAATCTCATGGACGTTTAGTATCTATCAATTCCACAAAAACATGTTTTAACTTCAAGAAGTATGTGAAAATGTATATTCAAGTTGTCCAATGTTAATTTATCCCCAAGGACTCCACAGCTAATTTATCTTCTACTGTAAATAAGATAGCTATGTAACAAGGAAAATTCTGAAACCAGAGATCAGTGCCTAACTGACTATTTTTACTATAGTCTAAGTGATTAAGTCTAACATGGACAAAATGGCAAAATAACACACACACACACACACACACACACACATATATATATATTCTCTGAATAAGAATGAATGAGCAAAATATTGAAAGAAATTTACCAATATTTTTCTTTTGCTCAAGATCTTGGATCTTTGTGAGATATTAAATATTTGGAGGTTGCCATCCCTATTCACTTTTCTTGAAAATGACATTTTCTGATTTGTCACCATATGAAGAGAAATTTTTAAAACCCTCTCCTTAACCATATATTCATAGGGACCTTAGTTCTGAAATGCAGTGTTATTGAGTATCAAAGCAAATACAAAATACCAACCCTCACCAAATTATTTATACTGCATTGTTCATTTAAACCTGGTAAACAAAGATATGTGGTTTTCATTTTGTTTTTCATTCTGAATATGTTGGGGAAAAATTGTCTGGTACATCAACACTACGTAGTATTTTGCTTCAGAGCAAATTGTAGTCATAAAATGATTTCTTCCTTATACATTTTGCTCTCTTGAACAGGAATAAATTGCCTAAATTAATCAAAGGAATAGACTATGTGCTGCTTGATTAGCTTTAGCAGATTTTTCTGAGATTACAAAAATCTCAATATACTTAGTTAAGAGCAAGATTAACCAAATGTACATTTATTTACAAACTGTTCTTATAGACTTCCATTTCATTTCTCCAAGAAGAAATGGCAAGTCACTTTAGCTATTATATCTACCCATTTTTAATATAAATAAGAGAAAAAACAATCTGCATAATTCTCTGAAATTTTTAGCCATGGACTAAAGTATCTTTAGATAGCTTTTGACAGTCCAGTTTGTGTTCAAAATCTTATCCAAATAACATTATTTCAAAAACTGATTTTAGTAACATTTGTACTAGTAAACATTTCATAAAATGAAGGGGTCATCTGTTTACTAAGATATTCAGTATGTCTTTTCAGTGAAGCGGCATTTTACCATGAATCCTATAGAATCCTGTAGAACTAAATATATCATGGCAGTGTGAAGTGTTAGTTCCCACTTGACATTCTACATATCCTATAAGTTTAAGTGTAAGTTTTGCTACCTGCTGTTCCTGACCTGCTGCTTACACATTCTATGTGTCCAAACTGCACATTAAGTGAAAGGAAGAAAGTCTGAATTCAGACTGGATTTAGATTCCATTCTCAAATTATAGGTATGTTTTAGGCTTATAACATTTGTGTACTTTTTATTGTTATTTGTGGGGTTCATTTTTAGTCAAACAATGGCAGATAACCAGATCATGCTAATGAGACTGAACAATTGTACTTTATGCATGTGCAAAAGCCATGTTGTGCATGCATAATATCCAAAATGTGCCCAAACCCATGAATACATGGATGTGGGCCACTTGTATTGCTAAATGAAGGAATCATATTAAAATTGGATCTGAACAGTCAGCGCAACAGCTCAGCAGCAGCAATAACACTAAAAACTGAAATAAAGACTGCTGTAATCCCTCTCTCGTAATACTGCAAAACTGCTTTCTTTCAGTATTTCAAACATCTAAGGGAACAACACTGCTATAAATTATCCTAGCTGACAGAACAATTGGCATAACTCTTCAAACTCTATATATCC